AGCAGCAGCAGCAACTGCTGCTGAGTATATATAATACTATTATATAATGCAGCAGCAGCAGCAGCAGCTGCTGCTGCTGCATGGAGGATTTTTAAATATAAAATTATATTTTCTATTTAATTTATATTTAATTATATAAATTAATTTATATTTATTTATTTTTTGTTTATTAATAGACAAGGATAAATACCTATGTGCTGCTGTTGCTGCAGTTGCTGCAGCAGCTGCACGGGGGCCCCCCGCATGCATCACAGAGAGCAGCGGCTGCTGTTGCTGCATTTACTGCTGCTGCTGCTGCTGCTGCTGTTGTTTGCTGCAGAAATTAGACTTTATTTATTTTATAATATATGCTTATAAATAATTTGTTATTTTCTCTGCTAAGGGCGCTGCTGCTGCTGCTGCTGCTGCTGCGGCTGCTGCAGCTGCTGCGGCTGTGCCTACGGCTCAAAGCGGCACAGCGAAACATACAAGCAGCAAGAGCAAGGGCAGCAGCAGTAACAGCAGCAGCAGCAGCAGTTGCAGCAGCAGCAGCTGCTGCTGCTGCAGCAGCAAGCCCTAGCCTATAGGCTATGTTCAATAATGACAGCTAGGGCGGCGTCTGCAGCAGCAGGGGGGCCCCCTGGGGCCCCCTTAGGGGTTCCCACCCTTAGTACTGAGGACAAGCAGCTGCCGCAGCAGCAACAGCAGCAGCAACAGCAACAGCAACAGCAGCAACAGCAGCAGCAGCAGCTGTGTCCCGTAGGCAACGTCGGCTGTGAGTGTCTTGGTATTGATGCAGCAATCGATGTATTAACTGCAGCAAAAGCTGCTGCTGCTCCTGCTCCTGCTGCTCCTGCTGCTGACGCAGAGGCCGCTGCAGCAGAAGAAGCAGCAACTGCAGCAGCAACAGCAGCAGCAAATCGATTGTTAGATAAGTTTGTATGGAGAAGGGACGCCTGGGGGAGATGCATTGCTGCTGTTGCTGCTGGTGCTGCGCTGCAGCACTCCCCTCTGCAGCAGCAGCTGCCTCCTCTATTTTGCTGCTGCAGCCGCAATCGCAGCAGCAGCAGCAGCAGCAGCAGCTACGACGTCAGCAGCAACAGCAGCAGCAGCACAACATCCTTCATTTCTTCTGAGACAAGGAGATCAATATGCTCAGCAACACCACCAGAAGCAGCAGAAGCAACAGCAGCAGCAGCAGCAGCAGCAGCAGCAGCAAATGTATCTAAAGAAGAGCTGCTGCTAGGTAGATGTATGTTTGCTGCTAGATCGCTGCGGCTGCTGTCGCAGAAAGGGCTGCCTAGTCTGCAGCTACCTGCTGCTGCATGCGATGCTGCTGCTGCTGCTGCTGCTACTGGTGGTGGTGGTGGTGCTGCTGCTGCTGCTAATGCTGCTGCTGCTGCTGCTGCTCATGCAGATACAGCAGCAGCAGAAGTAGCAGCAGCAACACTTGAGCCTCCCTTTCATAACAACTTAGAGTGCGAGTGTATAGACACCAAGCTGCAGCAGCAGCAGCTGCTGCTGCTGCAGCAGCTTGCTGCTGAACCAACAGCATCCCCGCTGCTGCTGCACCGCAGTATTGCTTCTCTTATAGAAGCAGCCTGGACGTGCTGCAGCACCAGCAACAGCAGCAGCAACAGCAACAGCAGCAGCAGCAGCAGCAGCAGCAGCAGCACCTGCATACCCGTTCTTCCTGTATTAGAGGAGTTGTCTGCTGCTGCTGCTGCTGTGCTGCTGCTGCTGCTGCCTCCTTATCGTGGTGGCTTCCAGAGGGGAAGGCAGCAAAGTGTGCTGCGGCGTTGCATGCGTTTAGTTACTTTGGGGCTGCAGCAGCGGCAGCAGCAGCTGCAGCAGCAGCAGGATCAGGAGCAGGAGGATGGGGAGGAGGAACAGCAACAACAACAGCAGAAGAAGATAAAGGAGGAGGTCGTGCAGCTGCATGCACACCTGCTGCAGCTGCTGCTGCTGCAGCAAATAGTAGCAGCAGCATGGTGTACGGACATCTGCTGCTCCCCGCTGCAGCGGCAACGCTTTCTTGCTGCAGTACTAACAGACACCCCCCTTGTGCTGCAGCTGCTGCGGGAGGGGCTAGCAGCAGTAACTGCTGCTGCTGCTGCTGCAGCAGATGCAGCAGCACATTATGCGGATATAAAGGAGAGTACAGGCCGAAGCAGCACAAGCAGCAGCAGCTCGCTGGCAGGAAATGAGCAGCAGCAGCAGCAGCAACAGCTTGAGCTGCTGCAGCAGCAACTGCAGCAGCTGCAGCAGCTAGCTGCACTCGTTCGTACTGTTTGGATTCGTTGCTGCTGCACCTGCTTAAACATATGGAGCCGTTGTGCAGCAGCAGCTGCAGCAGCTGCAGCAGCAGCCGATACAGCAGCAGCAGCAGCAGCAGCAGATCCTGCTGCTGCTGCTGCTGCTGCTGCACCTTCTGCTAAGGAGTGTGCAGAGCCAAAGCCAGAAGATGTGCTGACAGCAAAAGGAATATACAGTGAGTCCTCCATTTGCTGCTGCTGCTGCTGCTGTTGCTGCTGCTGCTGCTGCTGCTTTTCTTGCTTCTACTGCTGCTGCTGCGGGGGGTGCTGCTGCTGCTGCTTCGTAATAAAGAGCACTGCATGCATGTCAGGGCTAGTGGACTGCGTGACAGACGGGTCCCTGCTGCTGCATTTGCTGCTGCTGCTGTTGCTGCTGCTGCTGCTGCTGCTGCTGCTGCAGATGAGGCCCTTCTTGCGTTCTCTTGGGCAATCGCCTCCGAAGAATTTGTTGATTTATTTAAACTCTTACTTATCCCTCTACAGGTAACCAGCAGCAGCAGCAGCAGCAGCAGCAGCAGCAGCAGCAGCAACAGCAGCAACAGCAGCAGTACTCTAGTGCGGTGTGTTGCATTGCATTGTTTGTCCATTTGCTGCTGCTACTGCTGCTGCAGGCGTGGGGTGGAGCTACAGGACGACTGCTTGTTGCTGCTGCTGCTGCTGCTGCTGCAGAGCAGCAGGAGAAAGAGGAGGAGGAGCAGCAGCATGCACTGCATGACAGCAGCAGTGCTGCTGCTAGGTTTGCTGCTCTTACAGTACAAGAGCTGCTGCGCCTATGGGCAAGAGGTCCAGCAGCAACACGTCAGCTTGCTGCTGCTGCTGCAGCTGGCGGCGCTGCTGCTGCTGCTGCTGCTCGTGCTGCAGCAGCTCCATGCTTGCTGCTGCCAGCAGCAATCTCAGGGCGCCTTCGCTACGTGCTGCAGTCTATGGCAGAGTTGCATGCACAGCATTTTGCTGATGCTGCTGCTGCAGCAGCAGCAGCAGCAACAGAAGCAGCACAGCAGCACAGGCAGCAGCAACCTTCTAATGCCTTTAGTCTTATACTATGGCAGCGGCGAGTGGGCCCTGTCTTGCTGCTGCCGCTGCTGCTGCAGCACTCCGTTGTGCCTCTGCTGCAGCAGCAAGACAAGGAGCTGCTTATACACCGCAGCAGCTCATGGCGTTCTTATGCTTATCTCCTTGTAGAGGCCTCTCGTCCTCAGCAGCAGCAGCAGCAACAGCAACAGCAGCAACAGCACCAACAGCAGCAACAGCAAGAACGGACCCCAAAACGTCCCCAGCATCAACAACAACAACAGCAACAGCAACAACAGCAGCAGCAACAGCAGCAGCAGCAGCAGCAGCAATCAGTTGTCCCCCGCTTTTTTAGTGCATGCATCCTATTAAGCTGCGCTTATATGACTACTCGTTACTTAGATCTTCGTGTTGCTGCTCTTAAGGGTTTGCTGCTGCTGCTGCGGCCGCTGCTGCAGCTGCTTGCTGCAGCACGACAAGAGAAGCTGTTGCTGCAGCAGCTGACGCAGCAGCAGCGTCGAGATGCCCATCAAACAGCAGCAGCTGCAGCAGCAACAGCAGCAAATATACAATTGGAGAAAGCTGTTGCTGCTGCTGCTGATGGCATGCAGTCGCTGCTGCTGCCGCGTGTTGAGGTGCTGCTGCAGTCTTTTGCTGCTTCTTCTTCCCTTGGTCGTATGCGGTGTCTATGCAACACCAGCAGCAGCAGCAGCAGCAGCGGCAGCAGCAAACGCATCAGCAGCAGAAGCAGCCACGATCATGAGTGCAGCAGCAGCGGCGCCAAATATGGTAGCGCGAGCACCGACAGCTGCAGCAGCAATATCAGCAGCAGCAGCAGCTATACAAACAGCAGCAGCAGCAGCAGCAGCAGCGGGGAGGTGGACGTGCTGGTCTCTATAAGGCCTTTGTGTGACACACTGGTGCTGCAGCTTGCTGCTGCTGTTGGGGTGCAGCCGCTGCTGCAGCTGCTGCTTCCACAGCTGCAGCGGCTGTTGAACCGGGAAGGGTTGCTGCTGCAGCAGCTGGCTCAGCCAGCAGCAGCAGCAGCAGCAGCAGATGCTGCACAGATACTAGAAGGGGAAGGAGCCTTGTGGCTGCTGCTGCAGCTATTTGGTAACCCTAAGACAAAGCAGCAAACGCCGCCGCTGCTGCAAGAAGCAGCGGTGGAGTTGCTGCAGCAGCAGAAGCAGCAGCAGCAGAAGCAGCAGAGGTCGCAGCAGCGAGGACAGCAGCAGCAGCAGCAGCAGCAGCAAGCATGCAGCGTCTGCGGAGCGTCAGCAACCGTCGCTGCTTCTTGGGCAGCTCGTGGATCTTTTGCTGCTGCTCTTGTGGTTTCGCCTCCACCTGTTGCTGCACCGGCAGCAGCAACTGCAGCAGCAACAGCAGCAGCAGCAGCAGCAGCAGATGGGGAACATTTATTCGCCCGGCTGGAGCTTGTTGCAGGCTGGACAGCTGAGCTTGCAGAATTCCTCGGCCTCAGCAGCAACAGCAACAGCACCAGCGAAGAACTGCAGCAGCAGCAGCAGCAGCAGCAGCAGCAGAAGCCTCAATTAGGTATGGCACTGTTTAGGCGTTTATCTGTTGGTTTGCTGCAGCTGCTGCTGTCTATTGAGGTGTATCTTCGTCGTCAGGTTGCTGCAGCAGATAAGGCTTGTGGGGATACTGCTGCTGCTGCTGCAGGAGCAGCAGCAGCAGCAGCAACAACACTTGACAAGTGTGCACCGTTGCTGCTGCTGCAGCTACGACAGCTGCCGCAGCTGTCTCCTGCTGCTGCTGCTCTCCCTTCTAGCTGCTGCTCTCTTCCTTTGCTGCGGGCATTTCTCTCTATTGTATGCCTTATTATTAGGCTGCAGCAGCTGCTGCTGCAGCTAACAACACCAACAGCAGCAGCAAAACCAACAGCAGCAGCAGCATCTGCTGCTGCTGCTGCTGAACCCTCCAAGGTTGCTGCAGCAACAGAAGACAGTCTTAGGTCCTGCATCAATTGGCTGCAGCAGCAAAACTTCCGTGGGATCCTCTTCGGAGATAATCAATCTGCTGCTGCTGCTGCTGCTTCTGGTGGTGGTGGTGGTGCTGCTGCTGCTGCTGTCCCTGAGGTGTCTAGACACCTCACTAGGGGACAGAAGGCGGTGGCTCTGCGCCAATTCCTTACGATAACCGCTTTCTCCTGCTGCCTGCCTCCACAGCTGCAGCAGCAGCAGGAGCATAAGGCATCTGGTGCACAACAGCAGCAGCAGGAGCAGCAGCAACAGCAGCAGCAGCAGCAGCAGCAGAGACTGCGACCTCTCGATGCATTGTCAGTGCGTGGCCTTACTGAAGCACTGCAGCAAGAGAGGTCAACGCTGCAGCAGTTGCTGCTGCTTTCCCCGCAGTCTAACAGCAGCAGCAACAGCAGCAACAGCAGCAGCAGCAGCAACAGCAACAGCAGCAGCAGCAGCAGCAGCAAGGAAGGAGCTGCCTTAGTATTGGGGCTACTGGAGGAGTGCAGTGCTGCTGTATGTGCTGCTGCTCCCCTTAACCCTCAATGCATGCAAGAAGCAAGAGATGTGCTGCAGCAGCTGCTGCTGCTGCTGTCTCCTCTGTGCAGCTGCAATCAACAGAAGCAGCGCAGCAAACAGGGCAGCAGCTCCCTTGCCTCCAGTCGCAGCAGCAGCAGCAACAGTGCGTCAGAAGGAAGCAGCAGCAGCAGCAACAGCACAGGAGAGGCCAGCAGCAGCTGCAGGCTGCTGCAGCTAGATCTGCAGCAATGGGTGTCTCGCGTGCTGCTGCCTTTGCTGCGCTGCATCTCTACATCGCAGCAGCACTCAGAGGAGGCGCTGTCTCTGCTGCTGCAGCTGCTGTTGCTGCTGCTGCAGCACCTACTGGCTCTTGCGCCGCAGGGCCTGCTGCAGCAGGAGGCAGCTAATGAGGGTCGTCGCCCTATTAAGCGGTCTCTTACTGCTGCTGCTGCTGCTGCTGCTGGTAGTGGTCCGCTGCAGACAAGGGCAGCCACCTTGGCCAGCATCAACAACAGCAACAGCAACAGTAGCAGCAGCAGCAGCAATGCAGCAGCAGCAGCAGCAGCAATTGCTGCTACATATATGGGGGGAGATGCAGATGTTGCTGCTGCAGTATTTAAATTTTTAAATGAGCAGCAGCTGCTGCTGCGGTCTCTCTTCCAGTGTCTAGGCACCTGCTTCTCCCTGCCTCTGCCTTGTTGGTTGCTGCTGCAGCAGCAGCAAAGCCATAAGCTGCTGCAGCAGCTGCTGCTGCTGACGCTGCAGCATATTATCCCTGCAACTGTGGGGTTGCTGAACAACGATGACACCTCTACAGCTGCAGCTGCTGCTGCAGCAACTGCAGCAGCAGCAGCAGCTCCTTCTGGAGCTGCTTCTTCTACGTCTCCTGCTGCTGCTGCTGCTGCAGCAGCAGCAGCAGATCCAGGGATGCATGCGCTCCTGCTGTCTGCGCTGCAGTTCCTACTAGGCCTTGCTAGGGTCTCTCGTGGGGAGTTGCTGCCAGCAGATGACAGCAGCAGCAGCTACCAGTCTCTTGCTGCTGCCTTCCGTGTTAGACGCCTGCTGCCGCAGCAGCAGCAGCAGCCGCAGAAACGCGTGCAGCTGCCGGGTCTTCGTAGCGCGGGAGCAGCGGCAGCAGCGGCGGCAAATGCAGCAGCAGCAGCAGCAAGTGCAGCAGCAGCAGCAGCAGCAGAGCCGCATATCGAGCTAGCTGAGCTTCCTGCAGCAGAGAAGGAAGTGCTGCAGGATACATTTAGGCAGCTGCTGCGTTCTTGTGCTGCAGCAGCAACACGTTTGCTGCTGCATGCATGCGACTACCCGTTGTTGCTGCTACTGGAGGTGCATGCAGTAAGGCAAATGGGTATTCGTGCTGCTGTTATTCGCAGCAAGGGGGGGGCCCTAACTGGTGCAGCAGACGACTGCAGCAACAGTAGCAGCAGCAGCAGCACACCAGCAGCGGGTGCTGCTGTTATTGCTGCACCGGGTGTGAAGGAGGAACCAACAGAAGCAGCAGCAGCAATAGCCCTGCAGCAGCAAAAGTTACCACCTCAGCAGTTGCAGCAGCAGCTGCAACAACTGCAGCAGCAGCAACTGCAGCAGCAGCGGCTGCGGCAGCAGCTACTATCTAAAGCGCAGCAAAAGGCAACTTGTGCTGAGCTGCTGCTGCACTGGGCAGCAGCAATGTTGTGGGGTGGGGCTGGCTGCTGCCGCAGCAGCAAGTTGTCTGCATGCTGGGGGCACGGGAATGCTGTTGTTGTTGCGCTGCAGCAGCAGCAGCAGCAACAGCAGCAGCAACAGCAGCAGCAACAGCAGCAGGAGCAACACGACGAATCACAGCACAGCAGCAAGGATGGTACCCCTGGCGATAGACACCTCCTTGATACGCCCATTACAGAAGGAGCAGCAGGAGCAGCAGCAGCAGCAGATGTTGCTGCAGCAGCAGCAGCAGCAGCAACGCAGCAAAGTGCTGAGAAACTTTGCTGGAAGTTGCTGTGTACTTTGCTGCTGCCAGCAGCAGCAACAGCAAAAGAGACACCATCAATCTTAGGTATAGATGAGAGTTTGTTGCCATCTGCTGCTGTAGACGATACACCCAACAGCAGCAGCAGCAGCAACAGCACCAGCAGCAGCAACAGCACCAACAGCAGCAACAGCAGCAGCAGCAGCAGCAGCAGCTGTCTCCCTACATGCAATATGCTACCTATTACTGCTGTCCCCTCCTTAGGTGTCTCCTCTTCTTGGGGGACGATTGCTTCCTTTCATCTAATGTTAGGTCTATCCTTACCTAGGGAGGCAGCAGCAATTGCTGCTGCTTGCTGCAGCAGGACCAGCAGCAACAGCAGCAACAGCAGCAGCAATTGCTGCAACAGCAGCAACAGCGGGAGCAGCGGCAGTGCAAGCGGAGGTGATGGCAGAGCTGCACAAGAAGCGGCGGTTGCCAAGGCCGACAGCAGCAGCAACAGCAGCAGCAGCAGCAGCAGCAACAGCAGCAAGAGAAGCAGCAGCACGAACTGTTGCTCCTTCTGCATGCAGCCTCTGTGCAAGGACCGCAACTGCAGCACGTGCTGCTGCCCTTGGGGCTGGATGTTCCGTGAATCACCGCAGCAGCTGCTGCAGCAACAGCAACAGCAGCAACAACTGCAGCACCAATTGCAGCAGCAGGGTAGCTGGTGCTGCTGCTGTGCTGCTGTATTGTGGTATATCCAGCTGCTGCTGCGAACTGCTGCTGTCTATCCTGCTGCTGTTAGTGGTCTATCTAGCAGCAGCACAGCACGGGGTGTACATACACCTCTAGGTCCTTATTGGTTAACCTGCAGCAGCAGCAGCAGCAACTGCAGCAGCTGTGCTGCAGCGCAACAAGAAGGTGCTGCACCTCCTTCTCTGCATGCACCACCTTTGCTGCTGCTGCATCCCTTCCAAGAGCTGCTGTGTGCTGCAGCACAGGAGCAGCTGCTGCCTATCCAGCAGCAGCAGCAGCTGCAGCAGCAACCGCTGCCTCCTCAGCAGCAGGTTCCTTCTCAGCAGCAGCAACAGCAGCAGGTGCCGTTGCAGCTGCAGCAGCAGCAGCAGCAACAGCAGCAGCTGGTGCTACAGGGCCTACCTACTGCTGCACTCCCTCCTGTTGTACTAGCAGCAGAAGAAGCAGCGCAGCAGCTGCTGTTTGTATGTACAGATCAGCAGCGGCTGCTGCCGCAGCAAGGGCCGCTGCTGCTGCTGCTGCTGCGCGAGAGGTTAGCTGCTTCTGATTTGCTGCGTCTTGCTGCTGTGCTGCAGCAGCGTGATTGGGTACAGCAGCGTGCTGCTGAGAGGGAAGCAGCAGCAGCTGCTGCTGCTGCAGCAGCAGCAGGTGTACCACCGCAGCAACGCATGCTGCTGCAGCTAGCAGCAGCAAAAAGAAAAGGAGATGTGCTGCAGCTAATTGAGCTACTGTCTCCGCAGACACCTGTTGCTGCTGCTGCTGCATCTCCTATAGGAGTTCGTGCTCCTCCTCGTCTAGTAGGAGCAGCTGCAGCAGCAGCAGAAGCAGCAGCTGCAGCAGCTGCAGCAGCTGTTGCAGCTGCAGCAGCAGCAGGAGGAGCACCAGAAGCAGCAGCAGCAGCAGAAGCAGCAGCAGCAGCAAAAGGAAAAGGAGGCAGCAGCAATCTCTTTGGGGCAAACAGAAGCAGAAATAAAACAGCAAGGCGCAGCGTCCGGCCAGGGACCAACTAGCTAGCTAGCTAGCTAGCTAGCTAGCTGGCTAGTTGGCTAGCTAGCTAGCTGGCTAGGTAGTTGGCTAGCTAACTAGCTGGCTAGCTAGCTAGCTAAGTAGCTAAATAGGTAGCTAGCTAGCTAACGAACTAATCTTTTGTAGTAGCTAGCTAACTAGCTAGCTAACTAGCTAGCTAACTAGCTAGCTAACTAGCTAGCTAACTAGCTAGCTAACTAGTTAGCTAGCTAGCTAGCTAGCTGACTAGCTAGCTACCCAGATACATAACTATCTAGCCAGCAGGTTGGCTATTTACCTAGCTAGCTAGCTAGGAAGGTACCTAGCTAGCTAGCTAGCTAGCTAGCTAGCTAGCTAAGAAGCGAGCTAGCTAAGAAGCTAGCTAGCTAAGGGAAGGGAGGGAGCTGCCTATACACCCCAGGTGTGTGCAGCAACAAATATATATAAAGACAAAGGAGAAATAATATTTCCTTATATAAATAAATAAATAAATAAATAAATAAATTATATAAAAAAATAAATTTAGTTAATTAAATTAATTAATTAATTAATTAATTAATTAATTAATTAATTAGTATAAATAAATAAATAAATAAATATTTATTTATATATAATATACATCTTCTCCTTTGTCTTATTTATTGCATATTTGCAAGGTTGGGGTGTACGTACACCTCAATGCATGCATATACACCGCAAAGTATATTAGGGAAATAGCTAACTAACTGCTGCTGCTGCTGCTGCTGTTGCTGTTGTTGCTGCTGCTGCTGTTACTGCTGCTCCTCCCTTAGCTTCGCTAGTGTGGCATAAGTACAATCTATACAGCAGCAAACTCTACACTGTTGCTGCTGCTGCAGTGCAGCAGCAGCACCCAAGTAACGACCTTATTCGCTACCAGCAGCAGAATCAGCAGCAACAGCAGCACTTGCTGCTGCTGCTGCAGCAGCAGCAGCAGCAGCAGCAAAGGAGAAGCAACAGGTAAGGGGTATAGAAATCACTTACACACAATTGGTTTATTTAACCCTCTGCACAACCCACTCAGCAGCAGCAGTTGCTGCTGCTGCTGCTGCAGCAGCAGCTGCATGCAGCATCTGCTGCACCCACACCCTCCCCCTGCAGCAGCAGCAGCAGCAATTATTGCTGCTGCCCGCTGCTCAGGCTTAAAGCTGCTGCAGCAGCAGCAGCACAGTCCCCCCAGTGAACCTGAGGTGTCTGTACAGCCCACTGCGCAAATGCGACAAGGGCTGCTCAACAGCACTTGCTGCTGCTGCTGCTGCTGCAACAGCAGCAGCAGTGATACCAGCTGCTGCTGCTGCTGCTGCTGCTGCTGCAGTTATAGCAGCAGCAGCAGCAACAGCAGCAAATGGTATACACACAAGCTAGTAGGAAGCTGATGGCTTCTATACTGCTAGCCCAAACACAATTCAAAGACGAGACAACCTGCTGCTGCTGCTGCTGCTGCTGCTGGTCATCAGCAGCAGCAGCAGCAGAAGCAGCAGCAGCACGAGACAACGTATGTGCCTGCACCTCTCGCCACTGTTGAGAGCAGCAGCAGCTTTCTTCATCAGAACATTCCTGCTGCTGTTATTGCTGCTGCTTTTTTTCTTGCAGGTGCAGCTGCTGCAGCAGTAGCAGCCGCTGCAGCAGCAGCAGCAGCAGCTGCTGCTGCTGCTGCTGCTTCTGTGGTGGCTGAAGCTGTAAACCGTCACATGCATTCAAATGACTATGAGTGAAAGCTGCAGCAGCAGCAGTGTTTTCCGCTGCTGCTGCAGCAGCAGCTGCTGCTGCAGCAGCTGCTGCAGCAGTGCCATCAACTGCTGCTGCAGCAGCATCTGCTGCTGCAGCTGCTTCCGCAAAAACGACACCTCAAATCTTGCCAAAGCCAACGAAGAGGATTTGCAGCAACTTTGCTGCTGCTGCTGCTGCTGCTGCTGCAGCATCAATCGTTGCTGCTGCTGCTGCTGCTGCATCAAAATGCGCAGCAGCAGCAGCAAGAAGGGGACAAATACTCCAAAACAATAAAAGTATCCAAAAGACTGACTGGCTCTTTGCCTGCTGCTGTTGCTGCTGCTGCTGCTGTTGCAGCCAAAGCACCAGAAGCTGCAGCAGCTGCTGCTGTTGCTGCTGCTGGTACAATCAAAACAGCAGCAGCAGCAGCAGCAGTAGCAGCAGCAGAGGCAGCAAATAAGGGGAACAGCAGCTACGCAGGGATGCGGTGCTTCTTGTTTCTGCTGCCTAAAAGAGCAGCAGCAGCAGAATCAACATCATGTTGCATATCTTCTTCTTCTTCTTCTTCTTCTTGCTGCTGCTGCTGCTGCTGCTGCTGTTGTTGCTGCTGCTGCCTACCCTGATGCTCCTGCAGGAACTGCTGCTGCACTTCGCGCAGCTGCTGCACCGCCTCACGAAGACGCGCAGCATGCTCATCTTGGGGCTGCTGCTGCTGCTGCTGTTGTTGTTGTTGCTGCTGCTGCACTCCAGCAGCAGCTCCACTACCTGCTGCTGCTGCTGCTGCTGCTGCTGCTGCTGCAGCACTGTCTGGTTGCCCCGAAGGAGAGACAGCACCAAGGGATTGCAGCAGCTCCTGTAGACCAGGAAGCAAAGAAGGAGATGATCCTTCTTGCTGCTGCTGCTGCTGCTGTTGCTGCTGTCTTGGATCATCTGCACGTGTGCTGCTGCTGGTGTCGTCCTGACCCTGCAGCTGCTGCAGCAGCTGCTGCAGCCGCTGCTGCACCTGCTGCTGCAGCTCTAAAGGGGAGCAAATACTAGAAGGATCTGCTGCTGCTGCTGTTGTTTGCTGCTGCAGAGACACCTCACGTGTGGGGCCGGCAATATCCTGCTGCTGCTGTCCAGCAGCAGCTGCTGCTGAATTGCCTCGACGTTTGCTGCTGCCGTTGCTGCTGTTGCTGCTGCTGCTGTTCTTGCTTGGTACCCCAAGAGAAGCAAGCAAAGAAGCAACAGCAGTAAAAGGAGATTCATTGCCAGTTTGCTGCAGCAGGGGATTATTATCTGCTGCTGCTGCTCCTGCTGCTGCTCCGGTCTGCTGTTGCTGCCTACCCAATGCAGCAGCAGCAGCAGCAGCAGCAGAACTCTCCCCTCCCACTGTGCTGCAGCAGCGCTTCCTAAAGCCACTAGGGGAGGTGTACCCAGTACGCGATCCCCCTCTTCCTCTGCTAGGTCCGTACAGCAGCAGCTGCTGCTGTTGCTGCTGCTGCTGCTGCTCCTGTTCCTCTTGCTGCCTCTCTAGCTTACATACTGATGCCCCACATGGTTCCCCACCAGGTGTGCTGCAGCAGCAGCCACTGCTGCTGCTGCAGCAACCGGTGCTGCTGCTGCTGCTGCTGCCACCAGGTGTGCTGCTGCTGCTAGGTGTAGGGACCGTGCTGCTGCTGCCATCAGCAATACAGCCAGCAGCAGCAAGAAGGAATGTTGTAGCAAATTGCTGCTGATGCAGCTGCTGCAGTTGCTGCAGTTGCTGCAGCCGCTGCAGCTGCTCTAGCTGCAGCGCGTATCCAGCTGTCTCTGCTTGCGACATAAGACTGTCTCCTGGTCTTTGTCGCTGCTGCTGCTGCTGCTGCTGTTGTGCAGTTGCTGCTGCAGTTGCAGATGAATGCATCTGCAGCAGCAGCAGTTGCTGCATAACTTGCTGCTGCGCTAACATAACAGCAGCAGCAGCAGCAGCAGAATGGAACAAAGACATCCCTTTCTTTAGATTATCCTCAGGGCGCAGCAAATCTTCCTCTACTGCAGCAGCAGACAGTAGCGGGGGTAGCGGTGCTGCTGCTGCTGCTGCTGCTGCTGTTGCTGCTAATAATCCTGTAGGTGTTGTTGCTGTTACGCCATTAACCTGGTTATTATTATTGTTACTAGGGCATCCTTTGGTGGTATTTGTACCACCATTTGTTGCACCTGCTGCTGCTGCTGCTGCAGCAGCAGCAGCAGCAGCAGCAGCAGCAGCCTCCTGCTGCTGCCGCTGGCTACGCAGCAAGTCTAGCTCCATGTCCTTTCTTGCCTGCAGGGCTTTTTCTCTCGCCTTCTCAAATCCATACAACTTTGAGGAAAAATATTTCTTTAATATCTTACCACCTGCAGCAGCAGCAGCAGCAGCAGCAGCAGCAGCAGCAGCAGCAGCAACAGGAAAAATATATATTTATTAAGCACATATGTGTATACAAGGTGGTAGATTACTCACACATAGAAGCAGCAGCAGCAGCAGCAACAGCAACAGCAACAGCAGCACAAAAGGAGAGGCTAAGCAACCTTCTTCTAATTATATATAATGTCCTATATCTACAGCAGCAGCAGCAGCAGCAGCAGCAGCAAGAGCAGCAGCAGCAGCAGCAGCAGCAGCAAATGCTTACCAACGTGAAGACGAGCTACCCATGAGTTATCATAACGGCTGAAGTGTACGCCCAGCTGTCTAAGTTGATTATCTGATGGTTGCTGCTGCTGCTGCTGCTGCTGCTGCTGCTGCTGCCTCTCGCTTCTTATAGGTAGCCATTCATCAGGTCTGCTGCTGCTGCGGTCCCTTGGTGTGCTGCGCAGCAGCAGCTCCTCTTGCTGCTGCTTAATAGAGGAGAGATTGGATACAGTGCTGTTGCTGCTGCCATTGAGGCTGCTGCTGCTGCTGCATGCAGCAACAGCTGCTGCTGCTGCTGCTGCTGCAGGATCCCCATTAGACCCTGCAGCAGCAGCAGCAGCAGCAGCATCTAATGCATGCGGATCCAGGGAAGAAGAACGACGGCTTCTTGCTTGCTGCTGATTAGATCTTTTTTGGTGTTTGCTGCTGCTGATGCTTCCTCCTACGCTGCTGCATAGTTGCTGCTGCTGCTGCTGCTGCTGCTGCTGCTCTCCATCACGACGCGCTAACTGCCTCTTAGGCCTTGTTGATGCCCTCGTGCTGCGGCTGCCCTCTGATGCAGCAGAAGGGGAGGGGCGACAAGATGCTGCTGCTGCTGCTGCTGCAGCAGCAGCAGGAGATGTAAGACCTGCTTGTAGAGCCACAGGACGCCTTGATGCCAATCTGCTGCTCGTGCTGCTGCTGCTGCTGTTCGTGGTGTGCTGCTGCTGCAGCAAGAAATCATCATCATCAATCTCTGCTGCTGCTGCTGCAGCAACTTCTGATGCCGATGGGCTGCTTACCGGGTGACTTGTGCTGCTGCAGCTTTTGCTGCTGTCTGCTGCTGCTGCGCTGCTGCTGCTGCTGCCGTCGCTGCTGCGCATGCCACACAAGGCAGCAGCAAATGGTGCTGCTGCTCTTGCTGCTGCACCTCTACTTTGCTGCTGCAGTCTCTTTACTGCTTCTGAGGGGCCCCCCACAGCTGCCCCATCAGCAGGCCAATCTGCTATATTGCTGCTGCCTTGCTGCTGTTCTGCTGCAGCAGCAGACGACGCTGGCAGCTCCTGCAGCAGCAGCTGCTGCAGCTGCTGCGCTGCACATGGAGTCGGATCTGCTGCTGCAGCCATCGTCAGAAGAGCGCTGCTTCTGCTGCTGCTATGCTGCTGCGCGACTACTACTGCGACTGCTGTGCTGCTGCGGCTGCTGCTGCTGCAACAGGCGGGCGGGTGCACGGCGCGCCGCAGCAGCAGGAGCAGCAGCAGCAGCAAAGAGCAGCAAATAACAAACGACGCAGCAGGAACCGATGGATTGCTGCTGCAGCAGTGATGCAGAAGAAGACCAGCGGACTGCTGCTGCTGCTGCCCCGGCCTGCTGCGCTGCGGGGAGATGGGATCGCCTGCTGCTGCAGCAGGGCGCGGCAGCAGCAGCAGCAGCCTAGCAGCAAACCTGCAGTCGTATTAGATAAGCAAACATAAGAGTCTATAATGGGGAGAAACGGCAGAACTGCAGCAGCAAAATGCCAGCACCTGCTGCTGCTGCTGCTGCTGCTGCTGCACTTCGATGTTGCGGTGCGACTGCAGCAGCAGAACGGGGTAGGAGCGCCACCAACAGTCACAGGCAGCAGCAGCAGCAGCAGCAGCAAAACAGAAGAGCTGCTGCCTTTATTATAAATTAAAAGAAACGCTTATTCTTTGTTGCAGCTGCTGCAGCAGATGAATAACGGACGCATGACGGTATTGCTGCTGCTGCTGCTGCTGCTGCTGCCGCTGCTGCTGCCGTAGCAGCAGCAGCAGCAGACCACTAGCAACTGTAGCAGCAGCAGCTGGGGCGGAGCGTGCAGCAGCTGCTGCTGCTGCAGCGCAGCACGGAACCCCCTCAATGCTATTAATTAATTAATTGTTTTATTTATATCTTTAACATTTACATTTAAGGTAATTTATGTCTGCTGCAGCAGCAGCAGCAGCAACTGCAGCAACGCGTGACGCCGCTGCCACTCCTCCGGCTGCTGCTGCTGGTGCTGCTGGTGCTGCTGGTGCTGCTGCTGCTGCTGCTGCTGCTGCTGCCCTTCGGGGGACTTTGCATGCGCATGGGAGCAGCATCAGCTTGTGGGTTTCTTCTCTTTTGAACTCTGCTGCTGCTGCAGCAGCAAAGTTACCTTCACTGCTGCAGAGAGCCGTAACAGCAGCAAGGAGCTGCAGCAGCTGCTGCTGCCAGCAGCAGCAGCAGCAGCAGCAGCAGCAGCAGCCTCCACCCCACGCTTGGTGTTTGTGGCTTCTTATGGTACGAAGATTCTTTTTAGTTTATTTTATTTCTTTTTTTGCTGCTTCTTGCTGCAGCAAGTGTCTTCTGCTGCAGTCTTTATACACTGCGGGGCTATAACCAACAGCAGCAGCAGCACCATCAGCAGCACCATCAGCAGCACCAGCAGCAGCACCAGCAGCCACAGCAGCAGCAGCAGCAGCAGCAGCAGCCCATCCTGCACGATCCTGCCCACCATTCTTACCAGCCCTATAATCAACATTATCTTTATTTGCTGCTATAACTACTGCAGCAGCAGCAGCAGCAACAGCAGCAGCAGCAGAACTCCCATCACCACCAGCAGCAGCAGCAGCAGGCCAACCATCAGTATCTGCATGCAGCAGCAGAGCATCCACCACCACCACATCCAGCATCAATAACAACAGCAACACGACCATCACCAACAACAGCAGCAACAACAGCAGCAACAGCAACACCAGCAGCAACACCAGCAGCAACGCCAGCAACACCAGCAGCAGCAGGAGGAGGAGGAGCAGCAATGTTGCGCCTATCATTCCCTTTATTAGGCCTACAGAAGCAATCAATGGTGAGGTGTATAGACAGCTCAGGGGTACTAAAGGCATGCATAATAGGTCTAGGTAATTATAGGAGAGGAAGGGGGGCCCCTGGGGCCCGTGTCCGTTTATCAGTCCGTGACCGTGTGCAACCGCAGCAGCAGCAGCAGCAGCAGCAGCAGCAGAATAAACAGCAGCAGCAGCAAATAAATAATAAGATAAATAAGATGCCATTAGGTATAATAGTAAGAAGCAAGAAAGAAAAAAGAAGAAAAGATGGATCTTATCTATCTTTTATGCATAATGCATGCATATTGCTGCAAAAAAATAAACCTGCTGCTGCTGGTACCATTAGGGGGCCCCTCCCCTTCGATATACCCCATAACTCGAAGTTATTAGCATCTGTACTCTTATAAAGGGGAGGAAGAGGGGCCCCCATGAGGAAAGGGAGGGGGCCCAGTGGACATATACGACCAGGAGGGAGGAGGAACTCTTATACAGGCGGGGGCCCCTCAAGGGGGGGGGGCCCCCTCTAGGGGGGGGGCCCATTATATAGCGCGGCGTATGGGTAGAGGCTATCTGGAGAGGGCTGCATTATGGGGGGGGGCCCTTAAAGGGGGAGGGGCCCCCCTAAAGGGGGCCCCTTTGAGGGGGGCCCCAGGGTTTATTTGTGTAAGGGAGAGGAGGAGGGTATAGCACCAGGCAGCGTGGGGGCCCCTTAGGGGGGCCCCCAAGGTATGTACAGCAGAGGTCCCGCTGAACAGAAGGGCTCGTAAGAAGGCTGTTGTTGCTCCTGCAGCACTGCAGCAGCAGCATTGCTGCTGCAGGACTGCAGCAGCAGCAGC